AAAGTTTGTGTATATGTTTAGGTGTACTCTATATATGCCAATAAATCAATGAATGCAGTGCCATGAATTATATTAGGTATGTTTATATGTTATTATCCACGCAATTACTTTACGTTATAATTAGTGTTATTATGCAACTACCAAAACGTCTTTCATGTTGGGCTGCAAAAACAAACATTATTTTAAAAATTGCATGTGCATAGTTTCCCAACGTTATTTTATTTTATTTCATTTTGCAGAAAAAGCAGGGACTTCAAATGGGATGATGAGTATTGTAATGACATCAGAACAAAAGGTTATATTTGTGAAAAACAAGGTACGTTTCCGTCATATAAATAACCACAACAAATTATCTACTTAAAACTTAATCTGTAACTGAAAAGACTTGTCAACATGAACTATTTTAGACAATATTTTAAGCAATAAGCTGTTGTTATATGTACAATTTTTCATTTTTTTTTTCAGTTTGCAACTTCTGTGATACTTGTTAGATCGTCAACACCAATTACACAACCAACGTATTGTGACAACCCGATGACCATAGGTCTACATTAATTAGAATATATCATTCTGTATCTGCATGCTGTACTAATAAAACAGATCATCCTATAGACATAAAGTGTGTTTATTTAATACTCGCTATAAAACTCATCGCCACATCATCTTCCATCTTCCATTTTGATTAGGGTATCGTTAACTATAATATATGACATCATTTTCATGCAGTGTGGGAAGTAGATGACACATACCACAAACTCCAAAACCACAAAACCGATTTCTGAAAGTGCCAGTATTGAGGCCAATACTGAATTAATTTTCCATTTACTTAGTCTGCCAAGAGTTATATGATCTTCGCCACTGAACTGCGTGAGTTGCTTTTAAGCAATGTAAATTGTTTGACTCACACTGATAATAAGATGGAACAATAAGACAGCACATACAGAATTCTTATGAACTCCTAACAAATACCACTCACAATTAGGTTGGCTTAAAAAATAAGCAAGGTATTTTCCAAATTAATTGAACAAAGTATAAATGATACAGGTTATGGTGTATCCACAAAATTTTTTAAAGCAGACTTGTGGACTTACAGATGAAAATGTATTTGTTGACGTGGCAAAGACTTGATCATTTGAGCCGCGTAACGTACATATGATGTTGAGAATGATAATTTATGGCTGTAGATATGATTGACCATCATCCATTCGAGTGTTTTATCTACTGATTTCTATTACTATGGGAGTGAAAGTATCAAGTGTTACTGTGGTGTTCCAAATGAAAATATCAGTCACGTGAATGGTGTTATTTTATATTCCCACTCTGCGACCAGCATTACTTTTACGATTGTTATAAAGCATAACTGTTGGGCATTTTAAATAAACATAAATAAATGAGAACAAGAATAGTGTTTCCCAATTTCGTGTTGTAATACTTCCCATGTATTTCATATGGGTTTTTTTCATAAAAACTATGTATTTGTATGTAATTTATGCGACTGTGTCAATGTCGGTTAGCTCTTGTAAAGCTCTTCCCTGTGACTCTCACTTCAGACGATTACAATGAAAAATAAAATATGAAAAACAATAAGCAAAAGATGTTGGCCAGTTTGAATATTTTGTCAATCTACAAGCAGTAATGTACCCCATACAGAGACGTATATGTATGAAAAGTAGTGTCTGAATAATATGACATCACCAAATTAACATATTACAATTAAGAAGCAGAACAGCACAATTATCTCAGAATTGACATTGAGATAAGTCAACAGAAATAAGCAGTCACTGTATACAACCAAAAAGCATATTCATTGAACTGATTTGAACGTTACTAGCTCTAAACATTATAGAATGGGACGTGAATGAAAATTGTAAATACAAGTAATTGCCTGCGTACTTGAAAGCATGCATAGCTTGGAAATCTTATGTAAGGTGGCACTATACAAGTGAAAACTAACTATTGGAAACAACAATACAACTCTTATATAGGAGGTTGCCATGTTTTTCTGTCGAAAAGTACCATCCCAAAAGATCCATGACAAAGTAAAAAAGAAGCCTGATAACAAAGAATGAGAACTTGATGGACCAATCAGAATGCCGGAACCATTACTAGTTACCGGCCTCTTGTAGCTTGGTGCGCCATAACACTTTAGGCGGTAACCTACCGAAGACGTAACCCTCACGATGAAAACGAAAGTACACACCATGGACAATGATAAAACATAGAGGGCAGATTGCAACGAAATTGTATTTATTTATTTATGAAATAAACAAATCTGATTGGTCCTTGAACGCAATTTGATATTGCGACACCACCAACAATTCAACCAATAAACATATCTATTTTAATGACGAGACAAAACATTTTTGTGGAAACTTTTATGATCAATCTTAATGTTCTACCGATACTTTTACTCATTCACCAATACACCAATTGTTTTAAATTTAATTTTAAGATTCCTCTCCAAGCTCCCTCCTCTGAACTGCCACTACTGTTTGTCAATTTACTGTTACGATGTGTGAAGAAGACTAATATAACTAGCACACAGTTTAGTTCTAATGTGTCTCTAATACATTAAATGTATCGATAATTTGTTTAACTTCAGCCGATAAACTGGCCGTAATTACGTAATGCGTTGATGCGTAATGACTTGCAGAGAAGTTGCCGGAAACACTGCAGCAAACTCCAACGTTTACTTACGCAACTCTTTATGAAGGTTATAGCATCATACATCCTAGAAGATTGTGTCATGACCTCCGCCCTCTATAGTTGAACTAGCTTATTACATGGTAATGATTAAATTTGTATATTGAGCTGACTGACACTTACTTAAACATTATTAATAGTACACGATGTCACTTCTAGGGTTTGTTTGTATATGAAACACAGTCACAATAATTCACCTAATACATGTGTAAAATTAAATACTTTTGTGTCTTTTTTTCACTTTTTGAATGTTTTTAATTTATTTTTCATGTCTGGGATATCATCTTTGTGTAATTGCTTGTTCTATTGCAACACATTGTAAAATAATTTAACTCTTGTTTGAGTCCCGTAATAGACAATACTTCGTGTGTTTACGCTATAGTCATTGATTACGGCAGGTGAATATCGGTACCTTTCAAAAATTTATACTGTAATATTTCACCCACTTGTGCTATACTAATGAAGTAAATAATGATGATGAGTCTACATCAGATAACACAGGTGTACATCTTTAAGACAGTAGTATATATTGTGATGAGTGTACTACTTAGATATGAAATAAGACACACATTATACGTCCATATCAGCTTTATTGTATTAGTTTAGCATGCAAATACAGAAATTAGATCTACAAAAAATATGTAGCCCCATGGCCACCGAACTACAACAATGCGTCGATTGTATTCATGGTTCTGGGCATTTAGAACAGCTGCAAGCTGAAATAAAACAACAACGAAAATTTAACGTCATTTTCAAAAAATAAAAACGCATAATACGAACAATGACGTCATATTAGTATTAGTATGCCAATTCTACGATAATTGCCAGTTTTAATGTTTAATATTATATAAATACAAAACAGTGCTAGTCATGCCTGCCATCAAAACCGCACATGAGCACACATACTTGTACTTGCCTGTACCTCTCTCAATACCCTTCTCTCAAGTTGAATCTTACATGTTGTTATGACCCACATAAGATTGCGTTTTAATTGAATAAAAATGCAACAAAGTAGAAACAACATTATACATGTTGTAACTTAAGATAGAAATGTTAGTAAAAGGTGTAAACATCAGTGTCGCATTATTACACACTAACATACCTTGTACTTCACAAATGAAACCCTTCTCTCTGATATCAACACCAGTGCAATATTCATCATCCCATTTAAAGTCTGTTGTTTTTCTACAAAGACAACAAATTACAATATAATTTACCTATCTGTATAAACAGTAAACACTAGATGTGACCGCCATCGTGAAATAAAAAGTAAATAATGTGCATACGTTGTACATACAATAACAAACACATATATTTGGTCGTACAACCGAATATGGGCGAATACAACTTTCATTTGTTTATATCGGACATAGTAGCATTGTAATGAAAGCAGGAAAATATATACTAATATGATTGGCATAAGAATACCACACCGTATATACAGGCAGTATTGGATCGCATCGATTACGCTCCTGTCATCAAAATAACTGTTGTTGATACCTGTGGTATTCTTACAATAATCTTATATTTAGGGATGGATGAAAGATGGCCAAATATTTTGTCTATGGCTATCATACTCACCTCAGTTGACCACAGTCCTGACCCTGCGGGTTTTTATTAGTGTTGTTATCTGGTTCCCCTTCACCCCAGTTTGTGTAACACACCTCTCCACCATTAATCCATTTAAAGTTGTCCTCTTCATTTCTATCGTTCAGGCCAATCCAAAATCCAGTATCAACCTGATCACCTAAGCCACTGTCTCTTATGTATTGTGTGATAAAATCATCTGTGCGTTTGTCGGGAATTCGTGCCAAGGTTCCTCCAAGACTAGCACATTCAGCTATTGCTTCATCCCAAGTATAGCTTCCAGCGACAATATGGTACTCCACAGCTACGTGGTTACTAATTGTGTATGCTGTAATTGAATAAAACATGTATTTTTAATTGTGTTTAGATTGTTTTGTTAACGTGTAAAGTAAACAGAACCTAGTTGCAGTAACAACAATATGTTTAGCTACATTTCAAAAATATGTCTTACTTACATTTCAAAAATATGTATTAACTACATTAAAAAAATATGTATTAACTACATTACAAAAATATGTCTTAGCTACATTTCAATAATATGTATTAACTACTTTTCATTGGTATATTAAAGGTATACTTGTATAATAAAGGCTTACATACCATGAGTAGAGAACACACATGATACCAGGACGAATAGGGTAATGTTAATAATCTTCATCTTGATACCAGAACTGAAAAATATCTAAATGTTCGGGAAGTTCAATAACTAAGTTAAATAACATTTAAGTGAATGTTTAATGTGTGTTGAATTGAATAACGATATTTGTAGACGGTTTATGCAGTATTCGAGAGTGACAAGTCAGATTTATACTTACCTGATGACTTCTTCTCTGTCGGACAGTGCAGTGTGGCCTAGCATGAACACTAAGGCGAATTTATAGAACTTCCAGTGTACAAAACAACAAATACATCTATAATCTACTTGAGGCGAGATTCTTTTATTCGTGAATTCAGAATTTTTACGAAATGGCTATGCTAATAGGTTCGTGTCACTGATGATACTAGAAAGCGCGTTTGGAAGCGCGAGATGAACACGTGTTTGTTATCAGTGGGCCTTGTGAGTGCACGTTCGTGGGAGAAAAACTTCTGAAAACATGACCTGTCTATACTGCCTCAAAAAGCGTGATGACGATTATAGTTTAGTTCATTTGTATAGGTCTTTTTATCTCAGGAATTTTGTTTTTGGTAACGAATTGCAATGTTCAAATAATTTTATATTCTACACTGAGATGTTGGCAAAATATTTTAGATGTCTTGTTATAATAATGTTATGTCACATAATATGCAAGTTGTGTAAAAATGTAACAGTAATGATTAGTATGT